TATATATATATATATATATATATATATATATATATATATATATATATATATATATATATATATATATCTTATTATTTAAATAAGATTGTTATTGTAAAATGAGGGAACTGTTTGTCGGAAAAAAATCTGTATGCATTAGAACTTAATGCAGTTATTATTCTTATCAGATACACTTTTACGTGTTTCAGACGTTTAAATAATTAAATTGTGGAATTCAATATTTGTAGGATAACATGTACATAAACAAATATAAATAAATATAAATAGATATAGATAGATAGACAGGTAAATATATGTAAATAAATATATTTATTTGTTCATCTTTTTAAAAATATCTGAAAATACGTATCTTGTCACAAGTACCATAAAAAATGATAAGCGACCACCCACTATTGATTCAGACTGTACAAACACTTCTATTGTTCACCGTTCACAAAACTGTATCACAAAAGGAAACAGTAATTTTCATTGTGTCACATGTTTTTCTCGATGGCACGCACGGTGTAAGTTGTAAATCAGCATCGACGGCTACAAAAGCAATCGTATTACCATAATCATCACACTGCCGGAAATTATACGTAATAACATTGTGCTCGATACATAATCTACTAACTCCATGCAGAATCGGTGATTTCATTTACGAGCACGCTCAAGAACGTCGTGGTTAATTGTCTTCTTTGAGTGCTCGCGCGCGCAGGCCTCTGAATATTTTTCATGTAATTTCACAGCGTCTAAGAATCCTATGGATATATATATATATTATCTGTCGGATGAGTTTCAAGGCGGCCGGCCTTGAATTTTCGAGTGACAAAGGGAGTTCCATCGAATTACACGGCGCTGCTTGAAAATTGCGAGCCAAAGGAGAACTGGTTTGCGTGTAGTCAGACCTTCGTTAGGAGTCACACGATGCGAGTGGAATGTTGGATGAAACTGGGAAATAAGTTTTCGTATAGTCACGTAGACACAGTGGTATATTCCAACGAACTGGGTGGAATGGCAGATTGGAAAGGGAAAAGTGAAAGGGGCCAGTGAAACGCTGCATGGGCAAGAGGAAAATTCTGCGTACAGTTGGACTACAATTAGTCAGACGCGCGCTCGAAACTGAAAGAAGAGTAGGGAATTAGCTTGGAAGTGGAGGATGGTTGTGTACGGTCAGGCAGACTAAAACACTGAAGATAATGAAAGCAGCCTACGTAAAACTTCGTGCGAAATGAAAGTTTCAGCAAGAAAGAATTAATTATGAAATACATAGTACTTTAATATTTTTAACGTTACGGTGCTTTAATCCCTTGCAGTGCGAATTCTATCGCACGTTAATCTACGCTACTTTAATCTTAATAATTTCCTTTATAAGTCGAGACAATTTCATTTTTCGCTCTCAGATTTTAATAACAGAAGAATCGAATAATGTGTCAATTCGGAAGAAATGAATAACGTTCGTATTTAGATGTAAATGAAGCATCCGTTTAATTTATTCATTGCGTAAAAGTCCAGTCTTTTATCAAGCAAAAATTTTGTCACTATTAGGATAGCAATATTCCTATTTAATCACTAAATAAAAATTATCTAAGATAATTGTGGAAAATATAAACTAGATGAAAATACCTCTTTTTCTTTTAACAATCGTAATACATCGAAAATAATGTAACAAAATCTTTAAATTCTTCCAATATCGTTTTAGTTTTATATTTGACCTATTCGTTCTTCTCACAAATGCATTAAATCCGTCTCTTAATCACTGAAGTTTACTTTGTATTAAGCATTCTATAAAAACGTCTCGGCTCGTGCTCAAGTTAATAAAAATTTTTCAAACCAAACTAAACATTCGATTCAATCACAAATTATTTAAAAGCACAATATATGGCTCGTATCCAAAGTTCCGATTCACTGTACCCTAATTTCATTCTACATTTCCGAAAACCAAAAGAGAGTTCCAATTGCCTGTTGAGACATTGTTTGCTGCCAAATAGAAACGCAAAAGAGAGATATAATTTGCTGTTAACATTGCTCGAGAAAATCGAGGAATCTCTTGGCAAAGGTTTTTCCATCTAACGGCGACGGCTAACAATGCAGAGCAGCGAACAACTTCCGCGCCCCGGTTCGCTCCCTC